CAAGGCGATGGCGTGATCGTGCACCTCCTCATGTTTTGATTTTACGATTTTGGGATTTCTCAGATGTGAAACTTATTTTGAAAACAAATTGTAATAAATGATGGTTTTGTGGTTGTTTAAGAAGTTAAAAATTTTGAAGAATTTTACAAATATTACAAGTTGGTATCAAAGCCTTGGTTTAAGTGAATTGGAGGAACACTCGTGTGAATCCAGACTCAAACTAAGGAAAAGATTTTCAAAATGATTTTCAAATGGTTTTCAAAATACTTAAGGAGGATGCGATGTGTACGATCAGCCGGAGCCAGTAAGTAGACCCCAAAATACCATACTGTTGTTTGATATTGTGATATGTTAGAACAACATGCTAATGATAGGCTAGGGATCTTCAGGAATTGCATGATAGAATTTCTTGATTATATGATGCCTGATAGCCTAGGACCTTTCTTTTATGGAATTGACATCATTATTGTAGTTTCTTAGTGTATGCATCATGGTTATATATAACTAAGATCTTATAGCCTGAGAATGTTTGGTTTGGCCTTATTTCCTGTTCTTGTTTGATGAAGGGATTAGGGTAGGATCAAATATTCGAATGTCTATAGGATTCAGTGTTATGTATGGATAGCATAAACGAGTGCTGCAGGGTTGGTGGAATATTCATGGATGAGGTGTGTGGGGTCAGCCGGCTAGTCGTGAGATGTTTACCCGTTCCTCTAGGGAGTGAGGATTGAGTGTTCGTCTTTGCTTATGAGTATTGTTAGAGCGTTGTAATGATCCTTGAGACAAGTACGGGTAGGTATGGAAGGTAGTATTTGTTGGGTTTTAAGTACTATACCACTCCTAAGGTGCACATACAACCCTAAAGCTTTGGATCTAAGTTTGCTCTAGTTATACATGCTATTTCATTATTTCAAAGCATGAGGCCTAACTAGCATACAACTTTGATAATTTAAACATAAAATAAGTTAGATGATTACCTCTTTGTTGTAGCTTGTAGAACTTGGCCTTTCAAGAGCTTAGCACCTCAAGTGTGATGCCTCAAATGGTTCACAAACACCAAAAGCAAGAAGAGGACTTAGAGAGAGAGGTTATGAAGCTCCACATTCGGCTAGGGTTTCATCTATGACCATAAGTGCCGATTTTGGGAGTCTAGGGGTTACTTTTATAGTGTGGAATTCGTAAGGTCTAACTTATAAACCCTAATTCACTTCCTTGGGCCTTTAATCCAATAATCCATATGATAAGCCCTTTGGACTAACTCTTCATGGATTCCCACATAGAATTAGTCCATCCTAATCAGTCCCCATTAATTTAATCAGTCTCTTTTGATCACTAAATTAATTCTTGATCAATACTAATTAAATAATATGATTTTTTCAATTAATATATTATACTTATATCATTTTAATAAATCACAAATAACCTCTTTCTCAAAAATCCTTCCTATCAAATTGCTCTGGTGAAGGCAACCCAAAATGGACCATGCTACTATCTGGTCAAATACATACCAATTATAGTTATGGGCTTAGACACCTAATCCAACAGTATGGGCACGTACTACTGAAAGCACAGGACCCGTACGCGTGAAAGGGATAGAAGGGCCAAGAAGACATTACAACTCTTGTATGAAAGGGATAGAAAGGCCAAGATCACATTTTTATAGTTGATAATAACTTTATAATGGATAAAGTTTCCAACTTTATCCATTAGAATGTTCCCAACAAACAAGATCTAGTCTTTAAGTCTCAAATGGACCCAAAAGTTCATCTTTTTCAACATAATCCATTAATTACAAGTCTCTAACTTTCATATCTAAATCAAAATGATGTTTAGATGGATAAAGTTTCCAACGTTATCCATAACAAGGTCACAAACTATTAGGATCTAAAATTTATACACTAAAATGGCCAAAAGCTCATAACAATCAAAACTAGTTAGATCTAACAAATGAATCATCAATATTCAAACTTTATACCTCTAGAAGATAAATCAAGGTGAACAAAGTCCAGATCTACAAGTTCCAATGCAACCAACACTTCTCCAAGAAGTTCCTTCTTCTCCAAGGTGCACCATACATACTCCAAAGCACTCAAAAACACCTTTTTTACCACACAAGGTTCGATTAGGGTTAGGGTTTTATGGAAGGGGTATTCGAGGGGTGGAGGCTAAGAATGGAGTGGGTTTGGGGAATTTAAGGAGCTTAAATAGGGCTCAAACCACAAAAAAGGGTTTGGGCATTGATTGTGTACGCCCATTGAACTTCTGGTACACTCAACATAATCAGGATGCCTCATTACGCCCAGCGTACTCTCCTCTGTACCCCCAGAACTGACCAAACTTCAAACGGGCATAACTTCTTCGTTCTAACTCCGATTTTGATGTTTTTTATATCCACGGAAAGGTAACGAGAAACTCTACACTTCTATCAACTCATCCTTGCCTTAAAACTTTCCGAAAAAAAAATCCAACATTCATAAAAGCCCAAACTGACACTTTACCGAAATACCCCTTGGCACCAAAATACAGACCGAACTCTCGAATCATCCAAATTACATTACTCACACCCAAATGGGTCTAAATATCTTTTCCTAAAAGGCCCTAAGCCTTATTATACTCAGTCTTCGGGTCACCACCCCCACATAGGAAACGATTCAGAACAGGGCGTTACAACATTAAAGATACTTAATTTCTCACATAGGTTATTGATGGTTAGAACGAAAAACTATATATTTCACATTTGTTCTATATGCCCGAAACTTTGAATTTCAATTTTCTAGTGGTGTCAATATTATGTTCAATTTGATTAATGAGGAACTTGGTTATACAAATTAATGTTGCTTTCATTAAATACATGGATTTGGTTTTACTTACATAATTGATGTGGTTTCGTAGTAGAAAGAATATGAACATAACCATAGAAACAAACATGTATTTTCTAGTTATAGTTGAAACTAAAGAACCATAAAGCAAAAATCCAAATCCAACCAATAAGTCTAGTAACCTCATTACATGAGTAGGTAGGTGCTACTTATGGTTTACCAAAAAGCTTGTAACATCATAATCTATTATAAGAAAAGTACTTAGCTTTGGTACCCCAACTAAAAACCATTTCCATAATTGTGACTTCATGCCAATCTAAAACAAGTTTCGGCTTTTCTCCCTTAAATTCAAAAAACTCAACCTTTTTTTTTTAACATTTGGAGTCATCATTTTTCTTGCATCACCTTCATGCAACTCCCGCTCTTCCGGCCCATCAAATTCGTAGAGCATCAAACAAACACATAAGTTTTTCATGTGAGGTGCGTAAATCTAAACTAATTCTTTTAATTCATGAAAAGACTAATTATTGACTCAATTGTCTTTTTGCATATAGTAGGATAATGTGAAGGTACCCACTTCAAATCCTTTTAAGATTGCATCTAGGGCTTGTGAAAACTTAGTCTAAAGACCATCTGTAATGTTTTATGGTCAAAACTGAGATTTATTAAGAGGGTCATGAAAGGCATAAAAACCTACCATTTGATCATATGAAAATACCTCTTTAACAATTAACTTGAGAGACTCTAGTTTGGGATAATATTTTAGAATTCGAATGAGTTCATCCATGGTAAAGGCATTAATAATTGTCATGATTAGCACCAGAGTCTTCAGATTAGGTAGGGCCGGATTACGTGCAACATTAATGCACTACGATAGTTAGGGGTGTGCAAAAAACCGCACAAACCGCAAAAACCGTCCGCACCGCACCAAACCGCACCGCATAATGCGGTTTAGAATTTCGTGGTGCGGTTTACGGTTCGTCATTTTATCAAACCGCACTATGCGGTGTGGTTTGCGGTTTATATTTATAAAATCGCGGTTCAAACCGCACCGCAGCGCATGTTATATATATATATACTTTTTTTTTTCTTTATTTTGTTATAACTTCAAATCACGATTTAGAAACGATGTATTTAAATATATTTCTTACAATAATCAAATATCTATAACGTAACATTAAATCACTATTAGATCAAGATCCCACAGTTTATAGGAATATAGCAACTATAACGGCAATATAAAGCAATAAAGTGACACCTACAAAACTATAGTAGCATGAATCACAATTTATTAAAAACGATTTAACTTGAAAATTGTATTTGTTTTTCATAAAATAAAAGCAATCAATTTTTTTAACCGGGTCAGTTTTTTGGTTTTTTGATAGATTTAATGTTGAACAACTCATCAAACCGCACAAACCACGACCAAACCGCATAAACCGCCCGCATCAAACCGCACTGCATAACGCGGTTTTGAACATTTGTGGTGCGGTTTGCGGTTTCTAAAATATTCAAAACCGCATATGCGGTGCGGTTTGCGGTTTTGACTCTAAACCGCACCAAACTGCACCGCGCATATCCCTAACGATAATGACAGAAAGTAAGGATTGGAGTATACTCAAATGATAAAAATTTGATGAAAATAAATGATATTTTCAAACATCTCCATGTATCATATTTTTTCCTATGAATTACTTGATAACCAAGTTTAAAAAAAAAAGAACATAGATTGAGAAATCTATAGAGACTATTCATCTAGTAAAAATTGTTACATTTCACCTTTTGGCAAGTATTCAAGCTAAATCTACACATTTCAGCCCTTATTGGAGCTATAAACTTTGATCCAAAACATTTCATGCATTTCTCTATTTTTTTTTGGGAACGATGCATTTCTCTATTAAGTCACTCTTTCTGCATTAAATTAAAAAGAAACACCCGTGTAGTATATTTACCAGATTACACCTTGTTCTCCTTAAGTAGAAAAGAAAGAGCATTTAAGAAGTTAATGTTCTATTCTTCGTTTAATAGACTTTTCTTCACATCTTCACTTATATAGAATGGATGCATTATGCATGAGGGTCAAGCATGACAATTATTACAACATGAAACTTGTGTGTTTTGCCATCGATGTCCTCAAGATTTAACAAGAGTGAGAGTCTTGTCTGATTTGGGTCAACTCTTTTATAAAAAAAGGTGGTAAAGCTCCTTGCAGAAATTACATAGAAAACGTTTTTTAACAGGAATGAATAGTTGTGCATAAAGTATGTAAGCATGTACCTGACTAAAGAAGTAAAGGTCGATCCACAAATGATCCACATGAGAAATTCCAGGAAACAACACAGATTTGATGTTCCCCATCAATTTAGGCTCAATCCCTGCTTTATTTAAGGAGTCAAGACATTCAAAGAAAAAGTTATTTGCTATAAGACCTCTTAACTCCAAATCCACCAGTTTTGGACAGGAAATCTTAACTCCACCACTCTGGCCATCATCCATAAGGGCCACATTAAGAATGGTAAGCTTCTTGAGTTTCGGGTTTGAAATACAAAGAAGATCAAGTTTGCATAGCATGCAGTCTAACAAACCCAGATACTCAAGCGAAGGGCAGCTTTCCAGAAAATCTTTTACCAAATTCCCGTCTCCAAAGTCAACATCGGTGAAACTCAACTTCCAGCTATAATCACCTAGCCAATCATAACAATTGTTTCTTTCTTGAGTCCCCCGATTCAATGCACGACCTCGAGCAATACTAGCGGGACCAACAAACTCATCCAGGTCTATTCCATTCAACCCAACCCAATATCACCACTGGGGCCCAAAACAATTTTCTTACCCATCCTCATGTTTGGGCAGCCCTACCACAAGATCAACAGATACATAATTGCTGCCACAAATCACGGTATTAAACATGCCTTCTTCCCCGACTAGCCCTTAGGATCCCCGAAACTCTCCTTGATTCGAGTATGGATCCTGTGTTTCCAATAGTACGGGCCCAACACTACCTTACACCTATCCATACTTTCCTCAAGAATCATCCCGAGTCCTCTAAGCCCTACTCATAATAATACTCCCGATGTTGGCTCAACAGTGAACAACCGTTCTAAGATACCTCCTAGGCTCCGTTAGGATTCCCCCACCTCCCGTGCCATCAGTTGCTGAAGAACTCCTACTAATGTCATCTAACCACTTAATGAATACAATTACATGCAACAAAGCTTAAATAATATTCGACTAAAGGACTCAACCCTACAACGGTTGGACTAAGACAAGAGCTGCATAATAGGTTCAAGTCCTTTATTCTAAGATTATTTAAACTTCATAACATGTAATTTAAGGTATTCATTTGATGGTTATTTCACGTCATTATGGGTCCCACAAAGCACAAAGCAAGCAACATTCAAGCAGAGGAGACGAACGACACTAAGACACAATAAAATCAGACAGATCCTCATACGAAATTCTTGATCTCTATCTCCCAGCATCTCGGATACATATTCATTCTGTGTCCACTCTCGAGAATGGCTAATCATTCCTCATGCTGGCCCGTTATGAACTGCACCCGCTCATGAATCTTCCAGCAACCCTACAGCCACTCGTGCAAGCTAATCATACATAACGTTGGATTCCATAGACAGTCGAATATTTGACTCTACTCTAAGACCTTAATCAGATAAGAACAGGAAGTAAAGCTAAATCAAACATTCTCATGCTATAGAATCTTTGTTATGTACAAGTATGATGCACACACTAAGTGACCACAGTAATGATATCAATTTCATATAAGAAAGAAACCTAGACTATCAAGCATCACATAATCAGGAAATTATATCATGAAAGTCCTGAAGATCCTAGCCTAACACTAGTATGTTGTTCTAACATATCACAATATCAAATAAAAGTGTGGTAATTTGGGGTCTACTTAATGGCTCTGGCTGATCGTACACATCGCATCCTTTCTTGATTATTTTGAAAACAATTTTGAAAATTATTTTTTTAAAACCTTTTTATTTCCTTAGTTTGAGAGAAGATTCACATGAGTGTTCCTCCAATTCACTCAAACCAAGCCTCTGATATCAACTTGTAACATCCCAAAAATTTGAAAAAATTTAAACTTTTCAAAACAACCCATTTACTAATAAAAGTGTTTAAAAAACCACTGTTCCCAAAACATGATTTAAAATCAGAGTCTCCCAAGATCCAATCAGTAGTAAAACCAAGGATGTATACGGTCACGCCTTTGCCTTGATGCAACCATCTGAAGCACCTGAAACAATAAACTAAAACTGTAAGCACAAAGCTTAGTGAGTTCCCCTAAAGTACCACCACACACAGAGTGTTCAGCCTAACTGTACTGCCGCACCGGCCTACAGACTATCTGGACCGCTCTCAAAGCCTTCAGCATGACTGGACCGCCTCACCAGGCCTTCAGCCTATCTAGACCGTTCTCCCTGTCTTCGACCTGACTGGACCACCTCACAGGCCTACAGTCCATCCGGACGCCCCTAGGTATGTTGGCCTTCAGCACAAAGCAGGACTACCTCAACCCAACTACACATAACATGTCGACATATACATAACAAACAAACATATAACCAATCAACAGACAAACAGGCAGATCTACAAATCACCACCGAATGCTAGCATCCCATATACCAGGATACCGATCTAACTGATCACTACAACATCACAACATCCTATATACCAAGATACAGATCTAACAGATCACTACAGCATAACAACATCCTATATACCAGGATACAGATCTTACAGATCACAACAACATGAAAACATCCTATATACCAGGATACAAATCTAACTGATCACTATAGCATAGCAACATACGGTAAACCAGGATATCAATCGAAAGGGCCAGCCTTGGTGCCTTCGACCCGTATGTACAGTGAGGAAAACTCATCTCGCCAATCGGACAACATCTGATGAGGCCCCGACTCTAAATCCTAGCTCTCAAACAAACACCTACTCCAACCAAAATACCAAACACAATCAAACTCCCAAAAATACCCTCAAGGTCCAACTTGGTCAAAGTCAAAGTCAAATGGTCAAGGTCCAAAAGTCATTATCTCTTCCCCGTGGAGTATGCCCTGCATACGCCCATCATACTTTAATGTTGACCAAAAGCGTAGCGTTAACCGCGTGCGTGCAACGTACCACCAGGTACGCCCAACGTATGCAGCCCGATCCCGAAACTCCATTAAGAGCTTATTCCATTAAGTTCTTACATCCAAAACCCATATCCAAGCCGAAAATAAGTCATAAAGTTTCCAACTTTATGACTTTGCATGGCTATAAAGTTCTTAATGTCTAAAACCCTAAGTTCTTAACCTAAAAAGACATCACAACTCTTGCATGAAAGGGATAGAAGGGCCAAGATTGCATTTTTTTAGTTCATAATAACTTTATAATAGATAAATTTTCCAACATTATCCATTAGAATGGTCCCAACTGTTGGGTTACAAGTACTATAACACTCATATGGTGCACATACAACCCTAGATGCTTTGGATCTAAGTTTTCTCTAATTATACATGCAATTTCATTTTTCCAAAGCATACACCCTAGGTAGCATGCAATTGGAGATATACAACATAAAAACATGTTAGATGAATACATCTTAGTGTAACTTGTAGTTCTTGGCCTTTAAAAGCTTTAGCACCTCAAATGTGATGCCTCTAATGTGTTACAAACACCAAATGCAAGAGGAGGCTTATGAGAGAGACGCTAGAAAGCACCAAATCGGTTATGGTTCACCTTTAGAATGCACTAGCCAATTTTGGGGGTTAAGGGGTTACTTTTATAGTGTGGAAATCCTAGGTTTTCTTCCATGCAAACCCTAATTCACCATGACCCTTTATATTTCTTAGGCCCTTTGGGCTAAACCTTCATGCACTATCATTTAGGTTTAGCCCATCCCTAATCAACATGGATCATTAGCCCAAACTATAAGTATTACTGATTTACTTAATCAGTCCCCGTAAATTTAATCTGTCTCTTTTGATCACTAAATTAATTCCAAATTAATTCTTGATCAATACTAATTAAATAATATGATTTCTGAATTAATATATTATTCATATAATATATTAATAAATCACAAACAACCTCTTTCTCAAAAGTCCATCCTATCAAATTGCTCCGTTGAAGGCAACCCAAAAGGGTCATGCTACTATCGGGTCATGTAAATACCAATTATAGTTATGGGCTTAGACACCTAATCCAACACCAACAAACAAGATCTAGTCTTTAAGTCTCAAATGGACCCAAAAGTACATGTTTTTCAACTTAATCCATTAAGTACAAGTGTCCAAATTTCAGATCTGAATCAAATGATGTTTAGATGGATAAGTTTCCAACTTTATCCATAACAACGTCACAAACTTTCAAGATCTAAACTTTATGAACTAAAATGGCCAAAAGCTCATAACATCCAAAACTAGTTAGATCTAACAAATGCATCGTCAAGATTCAAACTTTATACCCCTAGAAGATAGATCAAGTTGAACAAAGTCCACATCTACAAGCTCCAATGCAACCAACACTTCTCCAAGAAAATCTTTCTTCTCCAAGGTGCACCATGCATATTCCAAAGCACACAAGAACACCTTCTTTTAGCACACAAGGCTCAACTAGGGTTAAGGTTTCATGGAAGGGGTGTTGGAGGGGTGGAGGCTGAGAATGGAGTGGGTTTAGGGGAGTTAAGGAGCTTAAATAGGGCTCAAACCATGAAAATAGGGTTTGGGCGCTGAATGTGTACGCCCATCGTACTTCTGGTACGCCTAGTGTACTCATGGTGCCTCAGTACGACCAACGTACTCAGCATAATCCAAAACTAACCAAACTTCAAACGGACATCTCTTCTTCATTCTAACTCTGATTTTGACATTCTTTATATTCGAACTGACACTTTACCGAAATACCCCTTGGCGCCAAAACACAAACCGAACTCTCGGACCATCCAAATTACATTACCCACATCCAAATGGGTCTAAATCTCTTTTCCTCAAAGGCCCTAAGCCTTATTATACTCAGTCTTCGGGTCACCACCCCCACATAGGAAACGATTCGGAACAGGGCGTTATAACATTAAAGATACTTAATTACTGACTTGGGTTATTGATGGTTAGAACGAAAAACTATATATTTCACATTTGTTCTATATGCCCGAAACTATGAATTTCAATTTTCTAGTGGTGTCAATATTATGTTCAAGTTGATCGATGAGGAACGTGGTTATACAAATTGATGTTACAATTGGTGTTGCTTTCATTAAATACATGGATTTGGTTTTACTTACATAATTGTTGTGGTTTCGTAGCAGAAAGAATATGAACATAACCATAGAAACAAACATGTATTTTCTAGTTATAGTTGAAACTAAAGAACCATAAAGCAAAAATCCAAATCCAACCAATAAGTCTAGTTACCTCATTACATGAGTAGGTAGGTGCTACTTATGGTTTACCAGAAAGCTTGTAACATCATAATCTGTTATAAGAAAAGTAATTGGCTTTGGTACCCCAACTAAAAACTATTTCCATAATTATGACTTCATGCCAATCTAAAACGAGATTCGGCTTTTCTCCCTTAAATTCAAAAAACTCAAGCTTTTTCACATCTGGAGTCATCATTTTTCTTGCATCACCTTCATGCAACTCCCGCTCTTCCGGCCCATCAAATTCCTAGAGCATCAAACAAACACATAAGTTTTTCATGTGAGGTGCGTAAATCTAAACTAATGTTTTTAGTTGATGAAAAGACTAATTATTGACTCAATTGTCTTTTTGCATATAGTAGGATAATGTGAAGGTACCCACTTCAAATCCTTTTAAGATTGCATCTAGGGTTTGTGAAAACTTAGCCTAAAGACCATATGTGATGTTTTATCGTCAAAACTGAGATTTATTAATACGGGTCATGAAAGGCATAAAAAAACTACCATTTGATCATATGAAAATACCTCTTTAACAATTAACTTGAGAGACTCTAGTTTGGGATAATATTTGAGAATTCGAATGAGTTCATCCATGGTGAAGGCATCAATTGCTATGATTAGAGCCAGAGTCTTCAGATTAGCTAGGGTCGGATTACATGCAAGATTAATGCACTACGATAATGACAGAAAGTAAGGATTAGAGTATACTCAAATGATAAAAATTTGATGAAAACAAATGATACTATCAAACATCTCCCAGTATCATATTTTTTCCTATGAATTACTTGATAACCAAGTTTGGAGAAAAAAAAAAGAACATAGATTGAGAAATCTATAGAGACTATTCGTCTAGTAAAAATTGCTACATTTCAGCTTTTGGCAAGTATTCAAGCTAAAACTACACACTTCAGCCCTTATTGGAGCTATAAACTTTGATCCAAAACATTTCATGCACTTGTCTATTTTTTTAATTTTTTTTTGGAAACGATGCATTTGTCTATTAAGTCACTCTTTCCGCATTAAGTTAAAAAGAAACACCATGTAGTATATTTACCAGATTACACCTTGTTCTCCGTAAGTAGAAAAGAAACAGCATTTAAGAAGTTAATGTTCTATTCTTGGTTTAATAGGCGCTTCTTCACATCTTCACTTATATAGAATAGATGCATTATGCATGAGGGTCAAGCATAACAATTGTTACAACATGAAACTTCTGTATTTTGCCATCGATGTCCTCAAGATTTAACTAGAGTGAGAGTCTTGTCTGATTTGGGTCAACTCTTTTATAAAAAAAAGGTGGTAAAGCTCCTTGCAGAAATTACATAGAAATTTTTTTTTTAACAGAAATGAATAGTTGTGCATAAAGTATATAAGCATGTACCTGACTAAAGAAGTAAAGGTCAATCCACAGATGTTCCACATGAGAAATTCCAGGAAACAATACAGATTTGATGTTCCCCGTCAATTTAGGCTCAATTCCTGCTTTATTTAAGGAGTCAAGACATTCAAAGAAAAAATTATTTGCTATAAGACCTCTTAACTCCAAATCTACCAGTTTTGGGCAGGAAATCTTAACTCCGCCACTCTGGCCATCATCCATAAGGGCCACATTAAGAATGCTAAGCTTCTTGAGCTTCGGACTTGAAATACAAAGAAGATCAAGTTTGCATAGCATGCAGTCTAACAAACCCAGATACTCAAGCGAAGGACAGCTTTCCAGAAAACCTTTTACCACACTGCCGTCACCCAAGTCAACACAGGCCAAATAAAGATCCTTAAGGCGAGGAAACCCCATAATATTAGGCAACTTTAGACCACGATAATTCAAATCCAACATTAATGCCTCCAAGGAACAGCAAGTCACAAGACAATGGGTTATCTCGACATCCTCATTCTCCTCTTCAGGGTAAAACGTCAACTGAAGTTGTTTGACGTTTCTTGTAACGGCCATGTGAATCCACCGCCTTACTGTCGACATGCTGTAGTAATCATAACAATCTAAACTAAAACGATACAAATCGACGGATCTGTTTGCTAAAATCCAAAACACAAAGTCTTTGAATCAATAGAAGAATAGAATCCGGCATGCTACTGATGAAATCAACCCAATCTTCAGATTTTGTTGTCTTTAATTGTTCAAATTTGTTCATGCCTTTTTGGAGATGTGAATCAAAATTATTTAGAGACGCAGACGGATATCAAATCACACACAACACAGTTTCCAGTGATTTCTCTCTTTGGTCGCTCGTATATTCTGCATTCATATACATAAAATGGAACGACCTGCTGTTATCGCGCCAGGTTTTAAAGGTTACCCAAGATTTTCACCCTTTATTATATATATAAATTCATACAAATTTATGCAACTATTTATCAATCTTTTATTAAATTTTGTATTTTAACTTTATATATTATTAATTTACGCATGCACAGTGATAGTGTTCTATATTGAGAAAATAAATTAGTTTATTACCTATATATATATATATACCATTAAATATTATATTTAATGGAATAAATATAGACATATAGTTAATGAACAAAGTATTATCTCAATAGAGCATTTAATATGTAGGCCTAACCAAATTGGAGTTTAGGTTGGACACACCCATCAAAGGGCTTCTAGCCCAGCGGTATCAGGTGGTTCTCTTTCTTTTATAGATTGAGGGTTCAAGTCTTGTGGTGGACATAGATGAAATTAGGTGTTAGTTTAGGAGTAGATTATATATTTGTATTTGCGGTTTCAAAAAAAAAGGTTGGACGCAGCCCAAGACCTATTATATATGTGTGAGGCCCAGTGCACAAAATATATGGTTTGTAATCTAAAACATGTTTGAAACTGAATTTGTTTTAAATCGGTTTTAAATCGGTTTACGTATTCTGATAGGGGACCGGTTTGGGTGAAACCGGTTTTCAAATTTATCAAAAAACCAATTTTCATATTTTTTTTTAAAAAAAAATATTATTTTTGTCTATTATTTCTTCAATTTGTTGTTTATACAAGGTTTTAGATGTTACCCAAAGGCCTGTTTCCACCTCTTATATTATTATCCTGGATGCCTAGAGAATACTTTTTAAAACTCAAAAAGTTTAAAATCACTATTTTGAACCCTCTAAACGGTTCAGGATCCCCAACAAATACATTAACTTAAGGTTGTTAAAATTTCGATTTTGATTTTACGATTTTACGATTTTAAGATCCTACAAGTGAAAAATGATATGGATCACACCTCTTTAGTTTTACTATGCAGACAAGTATTAAAAATTCGTCTATTCAACTTGCAACGAGCTTCACAAGTTGCAAAAAGTATTCTAGAGCATCACCATTTTATCAATTCAACTCGAGTTAGGCATAACATACCCATAATAATCTATTTGTGATCTTATGTCTTACTGTACATGATCAAAATGATCTTATTTCTAATTAACATGATTTATTGTTGATATTTACGGTTTGTAGCAACAAAAATTATGGGTAATGCTTAAGAAGTTAAAGTTGATTACACTATCTTGTGAGCAAATTTGAATATGAGTTCATTTGGTATGATCTTATGATCCCGATCCGATCTTACGATACGATCTAGCAAACCGTAAAACGATTTTAAGTAAGATCTTGATTTTGACAATCTTGCGTTAACTTATAGCATAACCATGAGTTTTACTTATTTGCCTCTTTCTGATCAACCATTAAAATTTCGGTAAATTCCAACACCTAAAGTGAGTTCGGTAAAATACGAAAAACTAACGAAAAAGTAGATTTTTTTTCAAACCGATCCTAATCGATTCTTATAGGTTTAGGTATTTTGGAGAAAAATCAGTTTTAAACCGATCTAATTCATCTAATGTAACCTTTTTTTGACCCAAACCAGGTTTCTGAAAAAAAAAATGTGGTTTATTCACCATGTATTTCATGTATTCTTTAAGGCCCAAATATGTGAGCGCTTTTAGAAAATAAGAAAGACAAAGAAAAAGGTCTCTCAATTTCTCGTTTCACATAATCATATACATCCAACACATACAAATCAATGGGTCTACATTATATCAGTCATAGTCACATAATCATATACATCAAACACATACAAATAAGTGGGTCGACATTAGTGCATTCGACCTACTAGCGTGGTAAGAAGACTCGCCTCTATACGAAGATAACTAAACCACACACTCGAGCTGCTGCTAACTCCTCACACTAATCATATCCCAAAAAATAACCCTAATTAATAATCAGGGGTTTCAACCCATAATAAATGGTCTAAATATTCCTTTATCTTAGTAAGGGCTAAAAGGTCATTTTTCCCTTCCCATTCATAGCCCAACTTAACAATCCCAACCCTAATGGTCTGAGGGCCAAAAGAATGGCCCAAGCGGTTTTATGACAGTACGCCTTGCGTAATCTCTACTACGCCCCCGCGTACGGCTTGGTTCTTAAAGGAAAGGTTACGGGGCCTCAGCCCTCTACACCCAACGTACAGAGCATTACACCCAGCATAATACCCTGACGTCTAAAATCTATCTAAGTGGTCTTAATGCATTATAACTTCACATTTAACTTCAGATCTAAGCTTAATAAAACGTCTAAGGCCATAAAGTTGAAACCTTTATGCCTTTGCATGGCTACAAGGAATCCAACATCAAAACCCAAACTTATTCAACCATTTACAACTCCATAACTCTTGCATGGAAGAAAACCACGGTCCAAGCTTGCATTTTTATGACATAAAACACCCTAAAATGTCTGGAAGGACAACCTAAAGGCTCTGGAGTATTCCATACTCACAAAGATCAAGGTTTTTGGAAAAAAAGAGTGTAAATCTAAGCTTAAACAAGATCTAAAGAAATATGCATAAAGGTTGTAGCTTTATACCTCCAGAAGATGCACAAGGTTGAGTAATTGTTGGATCCAAAGACTTGAGAGCAAAGCCACTTCTTTGATGATCTTCCTTCACAAACAAGAATACACAAAACTCACTCAAAAGCTTCAAATCTCAATCTCAAGGCTAGGGTTTTTGATCTTAGGGTTTAGAGGAATGGGGGTTGGAGGTAAGAACGGGTTTGAGATCATAATGATCTTTAAATTGGGTCTAAACCATAAAAATTAGGGTTTGTCCCCTGCTTGCGTACAAACAGCGTACATATACGTACCCCCACTGTACGTAAAAAACTCCGCAATCACATGCAAAGTCTTACGCCCTTCCTACTGGACTCATACGCCCAACGTACGGACCCATTTTTCCAACTTTTAAGAAATAAAGCAAGAAAGAGAATTTACTTGGAACTGGTGTTACATTATATTAATTTTTTAATTAACATAATTTTATATTTTGTATAGGGCCAAATCAACTTGAATCGGCCCTGTAATATGCCATTAATTTAATCAAATTTACATTTATATAATACAATATTTTTACTCTTTAGCCTTCCAAATGTAAATACTTATTGAAAAATTAAGATTATGACTTTGGGTATTCTTGCGGTATTCGAAATGATTTATCATATGATTTCTGAATATATTTTATTAAAAAATTACCAAGCATATTTAGGAGAAAAGAAAGTATTAGAACACTTTTTTTTGTCAAAATGACAAACCAAATTTTATGAGCATAAGCACTTAAATTTTCTCAACTTACCATATGATGGATTAAAACCAATCTCAGCAATATATTATTATACTTAATGAGCCTAGTCGTTTAAATTTTGTTTTCGGCTCAAAGCGAAACCAACGGTACCATGCTCATTCTTAATTTTTATACAATCGAATTGAATTAGTTATCACATTGATAAAACAACTCTTTATTAAATTAAAAAATAACACCAAACTTTTTATTTTACATATAATAAATTAATAACATCATACAAGAAAATGCATAAATTTAAACACCGAGTAACAAATATTATATACAATATATTACTATCCAGATAATATACTAAAATATATAAGATTTAAAGTTGAAACACCATTCACTATGATAATTTAAAATAATACTTAAATCATTTTCCTTTAATCAAAATACTTTGAGTTTTTTAGTTGTAGAAAATCATAGGGTCTCACAGTTTCAAAACAAGTTTGAAAGTTCAAAATAGGTTTAAAAGTTCAAAATTAGTGAGGATGTGACATTACAATAGCATAAAATAAAAAAGTACAAGATAACCATAGAAGGTGTGGCCTTCAAATTGTTCTTGTTATCTTCTCTCCTTATCTCTAAGATCTTTAATAGAAGCACACATCAAAATAAGTTAGAATTGCTAGTGAGATTACCTTGGATTGGCTCATCTAGAGTAAGAAGATAGGAATTTATCTTACTTGAATCAAACCTCTAAAATCAATAAAAACATCATATATCAAATTCGGGTTCTAAGGACCCAAACCAAACCAGAAAGGGTATTATATAACCCATAGTTCCAAACATTTCGAAAAGAGTAAATAATGGTTATTAAAGATTGATAAATTCAAATCCAAACTTTAAAATGGTAAATGAGGAATAACACACAATATAATATATAATGTATTTAATTTTCAATCACATAAATTCCAAACTCACTATAGTAGATGGTTACAAAGTGGACCTCATGAGTAATCCTCCCTTTTGTTCATTTATAAACTAATAACACTAGTAAACCATCACACTAGGCCACACAAAGGGCAGCTAGCCTAGAATGTACTACATAAGGATTATCTGGAAATCTACTTATACAATGATATATTGTCCTATAATTGTCAAATCCCGCACGAATATATGAGGGACACCTACAATCTCACATCCTAAATGTATGTACATGAAGGATGCTAAATAGTTTTCAAGTTAACACTAAAAACACAAAGATCAACATGATTTCCAAAAGAGGTTCCATGCAATGCACACTTAATACTCATAGTGAACACATTGCACATAAGGAAACATAATATAACTCAATAATAACTCAAAGCATACAACACATATAATAGCTTAGAAA